TATATATATATATATATATATATATATATATATATATATATATATATACAGGCTGTGTTATTTTAAAAAGGCTGGTCGAATATGTCGAAAACTGATCCCGGCAGACAAAAATATTTCAAACAAAATTTATAAGGTTTTGAAGGACAAAAAACGGTAACCTTATATTTTAAATATAGTTATTCACCAACATTATATGGAGGTCAGTCTTGTTTTTTTCTTTTTTTTTTTTTTAATAGAAAGTGCTACTTTTTGTAACAGATTCTAAAAAGTTGCTCAATTCAATGTAGCAAATATTTAAGACGTATATGATCTTAGTCCAATAGTTTAGGGGTTATTCGAGAAAATAATGTGACAAACACAGTTCTTCCAGCGCCTCTACGATGCCCTAGAAAAACACCCCGAAGGGATTTTAGTTAGTAAAAGTCTGGCATAACCTCTCCAAGGAAGTAGGGACATTCATAAAGATTTCCTCTTCGTTATAAAAAAAAATTTAGGGTTTTATTTCCCAGATAGCATACACCTCCAAGGGACATCTTGTGAATGTCCTGACAACATCTTTATGTCCTCAGCCTTACGAAAAAAACCCTTAATTTTGGGTGTAAACACCCAAACACTGGGGATAAATACTTAAATTTGAGTGTTAACACCCAAAATTGAGAGTTTTTTCGTAAGGGCAGGACGTCCTTTGGAAAGTCTGTGCTGTCTGGGTTAGCAATGAAAAAAATAATTTCGCTAATTTCCATGAACAATGATGTGCGCTTGAGTTTATATATGCATTCGAGATATTCAGGTGGGCTGTTTAAAATAAAACATGTATAATATAATACACTAAAAGAGCATTTGTATAAACTTTATGTTTTCTTTTATTTGCGCAAATCTTAATTTTCGATTAATCGTACAATAAAACACAAAGGTATTGCTTCGTATCATTCATTTAGCATAGCATTTTAAATACTTAAAAAAGCATAATCAGCGCGCGCGTCTGCATATGGGCGTACGCTTGTGAATGTGCTTGCACGTACATAGGCTACGGCCACACCCAAGCGATCATGTGCAGGTCACGCCCATAGGCACATGTACATGCGCGCACAAACCATACCTTCTTAAATATTTAAAATATTGTGCCAAATAAATAATACGAAACAATATATTTGTTTTATTATACGATTATTAATCAATAATACTCATCACGACTTACGCAAATAAAGAAAAACAATTTATGTAAGTGTATTTTAATATATGATATTGTACAGGGTGTCCCGTTTTAACCACTCAATGAAAAATTGTTTATATATAATTATATAAAATTATATAAAATTATATATAATTATACATATACATAATTATATATATATATATATATATATATATATATATATATATATA